GTAAATGTGCACAAAGGATTCTCCGGTGAGAAGGAAAAAACTGAAAAATCACTATGTTATACAAAAATGTTGTGCTCTAAAAATGCATGTTGTGGAAATAAGATTCATCCAACAAACGAAAAGGACTGAAGACATTAACAATCGCAAGCTGACACAACCTTTAAGTAGTATAAGGGTCGTTCTTTCCTCTCCAGATAGAATGGCCCTGGTCACTTTTGTTATTAGCAAAGCAAAGTCCTTCTGAATTGTCAACTAGTCACCAGAATGACCTCACTTCAGGCAGTCCTCAAGGTCATTACTGAAGACACTAGGGAACTGAGGAATTAAACACGGTTACAAAGGATTCTCAACTGTGAAACATCTCAAGACCTCTAACATGATAATGTGCACTGGATGGCCATAAAATGCAAGTAGTCACTATGTCTTTGTGGCCATGGGCCTTTCCACAAAGACTACCAATTAACATGTCACAGAACTCACTTTTTCAAGAAAAAATGTTGGGGAAATACCCTATTCTAGTGGTTCTTAAAGCATGGTTTATTGGCTTTATTGGGGGTTTATTCCGAATGCAAAATCTCAGGTCCCACCCAGACCTACAGAATCCAAAACTCTGGGGGTGGGACGCAGCCACCTGTGTTTAACAAGCCCCTCGGGTCATAGTGACTCACATGGAAGCTCAAGAAACACTGTTCCAGTCTAAATCACTACCATTTCTTATTTACTGCATAGTAGCCTGCGAGTCTCCACAGAGCAGCCAATTATAAACCATCATGTCCTCTCTCAGCCAAAAACCCTCCAACACACTGCACCTAGAATAAACCCCAAGTGCCTTACAGGAGATACCCTAGCTGATGCGGCCCCCTGCTCACCACTCTGTTCTTACCCTGTGTTATTGTCTCCCTTGTTTACAACCTTCCAGCCACACTACTCCTTTATATTCCTGGAACGCTGGCAGACTGTTCCTGTTCCAGGGCCCTCCTGTGCCCTCTGCCCAGAACACTCCTCCACGCTCTCCCCTTCCCCCCACATCAACACAGCTAGCTCCTTCTTGAAATCCAGGTCTCAGGATCAATGTCACCTCCATGGTCAGACCCCAGTGATGCTCTACATGACACAGTTTCATTGTCTTCACGGGGGTTCTGGCTATCGGCTCTGATTTTGTTTGCTTGTAAGCTCCATGAGAGTAGGAAGCTGGTCTGTCTTGCATTAAGTAAATATTTGCTAGATGAATATAATCTGTCTACAGCGCTCTAGTTTCACCATTTTTACCTGTGGTTTGTGGGCAAGCGGAAGCTGCCCAATGCCCTCTTGGTCCCCTCTGAATGACCTCTGAGCTGTGTGTGGTCTCCAGCTTCAAAAGATGGTCCTGACATAACATCCCTTCTTTAGCTACTTCCCAATATGCCAAGATAGTAATGTCTTACTGGCGAGAAGACAATGCCAACTTCCTTTCGGACATTAGGGAACATGTCAACGATCAAATGACTTTTAGAAAAATGTAAATAATAATTCAATAAATAAGGTCATCTAAGTGTTTATCATGGACTTCAAGAAGGGTGTTTTCATTCTGATTAGAAAAAAATAGAGCCTAAACAAATTTTTACTTTAATTTCCTTAAATTGCACCAAGTGAAACATTATTCAATGTGGTGAATTCCAACAGGCTCCCCGCCTGTTAGAATCATATAAAGTACAAGGACTTGTTATGAGACTTACCAAATGTACCAGCATTTAGCATTTTGTGAACTTGGTCATGTTTCTTAGCCCCTCAAAACCCTGGGTTTCTGCATCCATTAAACTTGGATCACAACAAGTTACAGCAGAGTAATTAAGAGAATCAAGTGGGATAACATTTGTGAAAGTGACCAATAACAGGTTTTTTGAATGTTGATTCCTGCCAACTGTTCTGCGAAGCCTTTCAAACATGTTCTCTCTTTCATTCTTATTCACTATAGGTAGTACTATTCCCATTTTACAGAAATTGAGGCCGAGTGATGAAGGACTTTGCCTGAGGTCACAGAGCTGCAAGCATCAGCGCTGGGTTTTCAAAGTGAAGTTTATCTAACTCAAAGGTCCTTGCTCTTAACCATCATCCCTAGTGCTTGTGAAATGCTGAACACAGGCTCCATCCACCACACAGTAGGTGTTCTATAAATGCAAATTTATCTTCCCCAAACTTTCAACAGTGCCCCTGATTCTTTTCCCATGCTATACTGCCATGAGGCAGTGATATCTGTCTGCCACAATCCATTTCACTAAACATTTCTTAACTTTTGCCTCTTGATGGAAAAGTATCCCAATCGTCTGAGAGAAGATCGTTCAAATTATTTCAACCTAAAGAGAACTCCCATAACTGCCTACGCGGTTCCTCACTGATTGTCTTTACTCTTTTTAGGATATGTCACATATTGCGTTCATGGCACATTGAAGGTCTATGGTGTGTGATGTGCTGTAGCAGAAATGAGATGGGTTTTGGGAGCAAATAGTCCAGGGCCCCATGACTCATCTCTGCCACTGACTAGCTGGATGACTCTGCACATGTTTTATTCCCTGAGTATGTTTCCTCATTTAGAGATGGGGAGAAAATCCTCTCTCTTACAACTGTTGCAACTAAATAACTTAGTTCCCTCCTGCCCTTCACTTTGCCCCCCTCTTTCGATAAGCTCTGCAATTTTAAGCATTGAAAACGTCTCTTTTGTATTCCAACAAAGCTGTCTGACAATACTTTAAGGGAATGGAACTTGTACGTGAAATTGATGCTGCATGTCCAGGTGGCCATCTGGGGAAGCGACAGGTTTCTTTCGGTGATGCGCCACTGCTGAGGAAAGCATGAGAACTTTGCGATTACAATTGCTCTTGGAACCAGTTTGAGTCACTCAAGAAAGGTGCCTTGTTATTCAGGGTTTTTTTATGGTTCACCCCCCCACCTTTTTACTGGCTCCCCTCCTTATCCCAAAGGGAAGTCTATGCTCAGTACTGGGAGGGGTGCAACTTTATGTTATTTTTGCCAAAAAGAAAAAAAATGTACATACACACACATATATATAATGACATTTTGACCACACTCCTTATTTATCACTTTGGGTTCAAATGATCTTACTATTTCTAACAGTCAAAACCACCACAAAAGGATGAAGGTGTGAAGTGAGGAAATACTCCAGAAATCTAAAGGTAATTCCAAACGATGACTTCCACCACTGGTCTGATACAATGGAAGCAACATGGATATTTAGGTACAGCCTCTGATCGTGACTGTTTTGAAGGGCACTTTATTTGGATTCATATGTTCAAGTTAGATTACCTTAAACACTGATGTACTATGAAACTTAGCCATATAAAAATATTGCAGTCAGCTCAGCAGCACTTACTGGGTAGTCCTCATCAGCCAAAACTATTTCAGAAGAAATGCTTTAGACTGTTATCCGGAAACTTTTTAAACTGTATACTCTACCAGTCATCGAATTCTGAATGTGCACCCCAAATTTATATATGGTTACTTTATTTATATGTTATATACATATTCTTTAAATTATAATAATATGCATGCATTTGTAAAGTATGTGCATTATAAAACATATAACAATACAAACTGCAAGACAAAAATGTGTGTGTGTGTGTGTGTGTGTATACACATTACTTTTTTTCCTTATCTTTGTGGAGCATCTTGTGTATACCCAGCACATATTCATACATCCTGCTTTGGAGACCACTGTTTTAAATGACAATGATTGTGATAAAGGGGCTAAGACCCTTTTTTGTAAATGGCTGTTAAGCAAAACTATTACCTTTCAATATTTGTTTAGTTACATATATTACTTACACCAAAAATCAAATACAGTGCAGATTCACCAAGAGTGCAATACACGAATATTTCAAGTAGGAGATACTTGAGCGCAATTCATCATTATCGGTCTAGAAGACAAAACTTAACAAAACTGCTAAACACTGCAGGCTGGGCTGACATGAGACCCTCATAAATAATGAAACACTATAAAAACACAGGGAAGGTACTTCTTCTGTAAGTGTAATATGTAAAGGAGGCAAAGTTAGATACAACTTAGAATACGGTAACTGAAGGCAGGCCACCCTGTTCCGAGTTGACCCTGGTCAGATTATGAACCCTATAGAGTCAAAAACTCAGACAAGAATGGCCTAAACCACTGTTTCCCTGACCAGTATGCTGGAGTTGCCCTGATCTTTGTAGCGGCACTCACACAGCGAACACCAACACAGTCAGAAGAAATGAGCTAACTACGCAAAGGATGGCAAGGAAGAAAGGAAGAGGAATCACGAGACCATCTGTCTCTGAATTTGTGTGTGTGAGGGGATGTTATCCCCAGTTGCTGCTCAAATGCTTATTCAAAGTTATAAAAAAAATACTTGTATTCATAAATCTAAAGGATCTCTCAGACAAAAGATGAATTCCTTATTTCAACTGGCATTCTATAGCAACACTTGGTGCAATAAGTGAATTCAAGCAATTTCTTAAAGTTTCCTTATGAGAGGATAATATATGATTTTATAATGTTGAAAGTCCATTTTAATTTACAAAATAATTTTTCTAAAATGATTATGTCATAGTAATAAGCTTGCTTTTGATGCAGAAAATTTAAGGCATTCTGAAAAAAGAAACAAATTCAATTTTGAATTACTTTTGTAAAATTTGCCAGTTCTCATTAAAGAACAATGAGCCACTGGAAATTAATTAAGAGCAGATTTGACAGCCTACAATAAAAACACTTAAACGTATTTAAATTGCTCTGGTTTTTTTTTTAAAGATTTATTTATTTATTTGAGAGAGAGAGAGGGCGCAAGAGTGTGAGCAGGGGGAGGGCCAGTGGGAGAGAGAGAATCTCAAGAATCTCAATCTCCACTGAGGGTGGAGCCTGACACAGGGCTCAATCTCCTGACCCTGAGATCATGAACTGAAATTACTCTGGATTTTTGAACAAAATAAAATTCCAACAAGGTGTCTTGGGGTGAAATTTCTTGATCTCTTACCTTGCCATACTTCTGGGCATAAGACCCTGTGAGCAGTGAGTGGAAAACAATGATGGTTTCATCCAAGTCCCAGACAAACACACGCTGAAGAAAAATACAAGTATTAGAGAATTATCAAGTTCTAAGGAAACAGAAATCTCTTAGTTGAAAACATCTGACTTCATCGTTGGGTATAATCTCAATACCATTTTATAAAAAACTACGCTACTCCATCAATTTTTTTCCAAGTTTGCCAGATGTTACCACCATAAAACCAGAGCGGGGAGAGTGATAAAAAAAAAAAAAGTCATAATAAGCTTAAAGATCAGATGTCCTAATTTGAATGAACTCATCTAAATATTTACTTGCAGTTAATACCCCAAAAGACACATTTGAACTTAGGATATAAGTGTGCTTTATTTTAAAATCTTTTGCCTCATGGATTCATGAGATTTTGCAATTTGTGCAAAGGATTAAATTTTTAAAAATATTTTAAAAAATCAGTGAATGATCCCTAAACAGAAATTATAAACTGTAAACCTCTGGGTTAGATTAGGCCATCAGATGGGTTGTTTAGTTTGCACAGTGCTTAGAAAGATTTCAAATTATTTTTTGATATACTGAATGGTGAATAACATAACATAATAAAATAACAAAATTTTGAACAGAAGAAAGATTTCAAATTATTGATCAACATTTCAAGATGAGGAGATTTCACACAAACATCAGGGTTCTGACTGCAGCAGGGAAACTGGAAGATACTGCAATGCTGACATTCCACATGGCGGTGATGGGCGGGCCCCCTTCGACTGGGCTCCCTGCTCCCCACATTCTGCTGACTCCCTGGCCCCATTCACTCATTTATATCACCTGCTGAGTTCCTGAAGGCACTGGAATGCGCTACTGTCCTTCAGGTGAAAGAAGTGATGTCTTACAAAGAGGCTATTATTTGATTTGTCTGTTATTTGATTTTACCAAGTCTGGAAATTTGGGTATTTTTCTTAATTGAAGGATGCAGTTGTGTAAGAAGTAACACAGTACGGTTAAGAATAGTTTCCCTGATGTTTTAGAATAAAAATCAACCTGCTTAACATGGACATATCTCAAAAGAGCTCTCAATTAGAAAAACAGATGCATGGAAGTTTTTATAGATACAAAAATGTTAACATGTATCAAATGATTAGAATTTTTCCCATTTTCAGAAGACAACTTTTCATTTCCATACAGATTAATTTCACCTTTTTAACTTTTATTGACCCCCCAAAATTTTATTGACTCATATAAACATCTTTCATTACCTTAATACTACCAAATAGAGTGTCTCTCAGAAAATTATCCTACAAACAATGGCTTTATTTTATAAATTTCCATTTGTGTCAATTAGGATCAAAAGATGCAATTATCTCAGGCCTAGAATTTGTAAAGTACCATCATTTTAAAGTTTTTAATTTTGCCATTATAATGGATGGAACCTCAAATTTTGGAGCTGTGAAATGCCTACATGATAAGATCCACACATTTCATGATATATCCCTCTCTTTTTTTAAGGTTGAAACCTTATGGCACTGTAAGGTATAGAATATATCATTCAGTAAAATAAAACATCATATTCCACTCTTTAAGGATAAGTCAGCATACCTCCAGGTCACTGTCAGGAGGCGGGGAGGGATTATTTTTCCGGCCTCTTCCTCGGGATTTTGACCCAGAACTCCTGCATGTTCTCTCATCAAGATCTTTGATAGGTGTGGAGGGGCTCTGCACGGTATCAAACTCTCCTAGAAATAATATGACTTGTATCAAGAAAAGTGCTTCATTTTTAGATCAGATATGAGTCTTTGTTATGAATTATCTTAACGAATCCTTTTACAATAGAAAACTTCTCATGACAAAAAAGATTTATCATCCCAAAAACGCAAAATCCCAATTCAATTAAAATTTTTGCAGGTCACACAAATCCCCCGTAGTTTCAAGCTATGTGATCTATTAAACCTGAATGTGTTTTATACTCCGTATGTCTTCACTTTCTCTGTCTCTACCCTCCCCTGCATATTTATCCAAATTTAGCTCTGTTCTCATCTCCTTATGTCAGAGCTCAAAGGAGGAGATGTCTTCTTCTGGATCAATCCCATCCCTCCACCTATAAACTTAACTCCCAACCTCACCCTCTAAGGGAATCATGCTCCATTAGTTAAACCCTGTCTTAACTTTCTTCCAACCTCTTGTTCTTCTGTGGGCCATGGACAAGTTTAAAAGTCCTTTCCTTGACCTTGTATTTTCACCTAGAAGGTATCTGCTTTGCTATCTTCTCTTTTCTAAGTGATACACCTTAAAAGAATAGTACGTTACATGACAGGGCAGTCCAAAAGAAATACAATGTGAGCCACAAATATAACCACATATATAATTTAAAATTTTCTAGAAGCCACAATAAAAAATGTAAAGAAACATGTAGAATTAATTCTATTCGTGTACACTAATTGACCCAATATAACCACAATATTATCATTTCAGCGTGTAACCAACATAAAAATTATCAACAACACGTTTTACATAATCTCCATCTAAGTCTTTAAACTCCTGTGTGTTTTTTACACTTAACAGCAGACCTCCAACTGTCCTAGCCACGCTACAGGTGCTAGACAACCACGTGTGACCAACGGTGACAGCAGTGGACAGCACCTTCGCCTCCACTTCCTGACATCTGATCTGTCATAATCAGTTCACCAAATCTCTAACAAAACTTCTCTTACTTAGAGTCCCCGATAACCACCCAACTGACAGATGTAATAGACAGACTCAGTCCTTATCTTCCTGGATGCCTGAGCTGTGTTTGATCCTCTTAAACACCACGTCCTTAGAGCCATTATTTGGCAGCTGATACCTTGCAGTCTCCTAGCTCTGGAAGCTCTCTCATCAGTCCTTCTCTGTCTAGGAGACACGCACTCCTTTTCCTCCTCCCATTCCTTGTACGCTGGTATTGAAGAGTCCAACCTTTGGTCACTGTTCTCCTTATTCCACACCATCTGGGCGATCTAACCCTCTCACTGGTTAATCACCCTCTCTGAGATGACCCATACATAAATCCCTATCTCCGATGAAGCCACATCCTACAGAAGTTTCAGACTTTGTATCTAACTGACCTCTGCATGTCCCCTAGGTACCTGAACGTCTGACATGTCTAAAGCTGGGGCTGGGGCATCTTATGAGGAAGGAGTACTGAGCAGCCGCAAATCTGTGGGAGCGGGTTAAGATAAACCAAAGCGACAGGGAGGTGCTGCAAAACCTCACAAGTAACAAGAGTCAGACTTACTGTAGGACTTAAAGCATTTCACTCCATCTCGCTGAATCTCTTTCTTTGTATATTAAAGCATGGGCAATAGCAGCTGCTTTCTGAATTACTGAGGTAAAAATGATTTATATTTAATTTGATTTAAATCATGCATGTAAACATTTCTAGGAGAGTCTGAGGGCAAACTACATTAAATTTAAATTAAATTTAAATTACTATATTTGAACTTAAATATAAAGAAGTTATAACTATTATGCTTTACCATAAAATTAAAGAAAAATAATTATGAGGACAGCCAAGTAGTTATTAATCTAAATAAACAAATCTGAACAAGCTAGATAACATTTAGGTCACACCTCTTCTGAGATGTTCTAAATAAACAGTCATTTTTACAAAGCTCGCCTGTAATTATTTCTAACGGTTATAACATTTTCTTTGGGAAACACTGTGCATGTCAGGACAGCATCTCAAAAAAACGCATGTCTATGCTTCAAATATTATTTGTTCTTAACACATTGTTAGCATTGTTCCTATCACAGGTCTCTGCTATCAACTGTGTGAGAGTAGACAGCGTAATAAAGGCTCTATAGTTTTCAGGTGAATATCGCCCCATCTCAGAGTAAAACGTGTTTCAGCTTACTGGCACAAGCGTTAAATGAGGCTTTAGGTATTTAAATACATGCCAACTTAAAAAAAAAAAAATCACACAAAAATTTTTCTATTTCTCATTATTTTTTTTTAAACAGAATTTTAGTAATTTTACTATGCCCTGCAAGTCAAATGTTCTCGTTCTGATAAAATGATGATTCAAATTAAGCCCCATTTATTATATTAAGCTTATAAAATTTTTTGGATGACCTCCCACAAAAACTTGTCTTTCTACTCATGATAGATCAATTTTCAGCTGTTAACTATCATGAGGCAGCTTTGTTCTTGCTAAAAATGCAAGAGCTGAAAGGTCAAAAACTTGCAAAATTCCAAAGCTATTGTGATCAGTTATGGGTGGCTGATTGTTGACTGGATCCATAAAGAAGGAGTTTGAGAGAACAACTCAGCTATTAAATGAACTGGAGAGCCAGTTGCTAAAGAGCAGAAGGAGGAAGAAGGGAAAAGGGTGGTCATAGAAGTGTCTGCGTTTCAATAAAAGTAGGATTTGATATCACTGATTTTTACCAAGTAACAGAAGGATCTGGAAAAGGCTCTAAGAATTCGGACAAAATATGGACACAAGTGTTTTGATGAAAGTAAAGGCATATCCTTTTAAGAAAACCATGAAGAGTAGCTCCACATTTATCCTTAGTGTGTGTCATGCACTGCCTTCTTTCTTAAAAAGCTTATTGAAATACGTGTTTGGCTCTATTCGCTGCTCATTATGTCTGTGAGATTCTTGCCATTTTGTAACCTGGAGCAGTTGTTTGCTTTTTCTTTCATGTGGCTAGAACTTCATTATATATGTACACTACGCTTTATTTATCCATTATGTGAACAAACATTATGTTATTTGTAGTTTTAGGCAATTAGAAATAAAGCTGCTATAAACGTTCTTGTTCACCTCTTGTGGACATAAACTCCTATTCCTCTAGGGTATATTCTTAGCAGTGGGACTGCTGGGTCATAGGGAAGGCATATGTTCATCTTTAGTAGACACTGACCACCTTTTTCTAGTGTGGTTGTATTAATTCACTCTCTGATAAGCAATGAGATTTCCAGTTGCTCCACATCCTTGCCAATACTTGGTATTGCTAGTCTTTTTTTATATTAGCTATTGTGGGGGTATGTTGGTCTCATTGTAGTTTTAATTGTTGAATAATGATGTAAAACACTTTTTTTGGTATTTTTTTCTTTTTTTGCCCATTTGGGATCTTTTTTTTTTTTATGAGGTAACTGTTTAAATCTTTTGCCCATTAAAAAAACTGGGTTATCTTTTTCTTATTGATTTGTCAGAGCTCTTTATTATAAGACATTCTTTACATATATATGTCTGAGTTGAACTTCACTTTAACCCAGTGAATTTGGTCCTTTGTTAGCCTCTTTTAATAATGGGAAACCGGAGGCATGTGATATTTTAAATTAACTTACCAAGATGAAATAGCTTGTATGCAGAATGCTGGTATGATTCCAGAATTCCTGCCTTAACCACTAGGTTATCCTTTCTCACCCAAACAGCAACAGATCCTCCAGGTTACAAAGAGGTCAAACTTGTATCTGTTCCTACCCATCAAAAGAGTATATAGACTTTTTACAATCTCGTGCGAGTAAAGGCCAATGAATTCATCAAAAGATCTTCACAGTAAAAGAGTATGTCCTGCAGAGTACATATGTGGTAGCTAGTCTCCTACAGTAACCACCCAGGGGAACTGTTCTGACCTCTATATCTTTTGAAGGTTCTATCCTTTCTTCTGATAAAGGGAAAAACCAGGAACTTGAGCTCAACTGGTCATTAAACATTTGTTGACACTTTTTTTTAAAGAGGAAGCTGTTAATTCCAGTGTCTCTGCCAAATTTCACTCAAGTAATTGCACTAGGGTACATTAATGCTGCAGGTAGGGAAAAGGCAAATTGGCAGAGAAGTTAAATGTGGTCAGTCCTTTCCATCTAAATCCTCTTGAGAGCTTCAATTAAATGAATGAGCACTTTGCCTTCCTTCCTGTCCTTGTGTGAAATGCCATGAAGCTATGGAAATTCTACTGAGTTCCGCCTAAGAAACTGGCTTCTCTTCAAAGAGTGAAGTGATCTTACTATATCTTTTACTTTTCTGAAGGACCTGTAAAGTTTAATTAGCTAATGTATTGTAATGTTTGCCAAGGTCTCAGAGTAAAGGATGATACTGTTACAAATTACTGATTATTTTTCATTTTCAAGATGTTTAAAATATTGAAAGAGGGGGAGCTACAAAACTCTCTAATCTTAATGTGCTAATCAGTCACCAAACTTTCTGAATGCAAGTCAAAAATATAATATACCTGAGATAATCTTTGTTAAAGGCAAAAAGAGATCTTTATAAAGGTAATACAAACTCAAATATCTGTTCTTAATCAGTATGCTAATGTGTCTTTAAATACACTGTCAAACTGCCTAATAAGGTAAAGTCAAGAACTGAATACTATTTGCAATTTCCAAATAACATCAGTCATTACCAGTTGCCCTAGGCTTTTCTTGGACCAACACTATACGTGATTGAATAATTCTCCTTTAATTAGTACAGTAATGAATAACTACAACTTCTAAGCTTTGAGTATTTAGATCCAATTTCATTTCCTTTAGTTTTATCTCTAAGCCAGAACCACCACCTGTCTATTATAGAACATAAAGTATGTTTCTATTTTAAAAATGAGAGCTGTGAACAGTAAATGATTTATGAAAAATTGTGGATGTAATTGTTAAGTCTCTGTGTTCAGTCCAAAATGCAGAGCTGGTCAATGGGAAATACTTTTCACACCCTTGAACTGAGTACCTCAAATTTCATCAATAACAAAGAAAAATCCCATAGTTATAAACTTGTTGGCTTTTTGCATGCATGCCAGACCTGGAAAGGCAAAATCTAACTTAAAACTATCTTGCCTGAAGTTCTGGGGTCACAGAATTCCCTAAAAATCCAGACATATTATTGTTATAATTTTGGTTAAGAGAATAATACAGCTACAAGCAAAAATGATTTCTTCTCTTAATTCAGCAGAAAGTCTGATAAGACCTGAAAATTATGTCAAACAATAGTTGTTGGCATTAGCAATCAATGGAAAGCTAAAGAAATTGCATTCTGATAGTGACTATGAGGATGTTACACATGGATGTGTCACATCCAAAGTCACATATTCAGAATACCTACATGCCTGCATTTGGTACTTTTAGTGTAAGCAAAATAGCTATTCTGAATATTTATTATTCTTTAATTAATGGAAAGTGTCCATCTGTGTCTTTCCTGCACAGAAACTTTTGTGATCACACTGAAATTAGAGCAAAATCAACAGCAAATTCAAAGTGTTATCCAGTGGATATCATATTTGAAAACCAAATATTTTTCACTCGTGGTAGTTCTATTCTAGTAAACTCAAAAACCGTCTGCTGGTCCTGGTCCTTTCATTCAGTCTCCAGTACCTTGATGATCAAATACTTCTGTGATTTTTTTTTTATTCTTATGTTAATCCCCATACATTACATCATTAGTTTTAGATGAAGTGTTCCATGATTCATTGTTTGTGCATAACACCCAGTGCTCCATGCAGAATGTGCCCTCCTCAATACCCACCACCAGGCTAACCCATCCTCCCACCCCCCTCCCCTCTAGCACCCTGTTTGTTTTTCAGAGTCCATCATCTCTCATGGTTCCTCTACCCCTCCGATTTCCCCCGCTTCATTCTTCCCCTCCCGCTACCTTCTTTTTTTTTTCTTAACATATATTGCATTATTTGTTTCAGAGGTACAGATCTGAGATTCAACAGTCTTGCACAATTATGATTTTTTTTAATACAGTCATCCTACCCTGTTTCCCTACGCATTTACTATTGAGAAAAATCTTTCACAGTTAAGATATCCCCTTATCTAAACATCTCCACTATCCATTAAGCAAGTATTCTGAAATCACTTTCTTCTTTCCTCTTCTTTTCTTTTTTCTTTCTTTTCTTTCTTTCTTTCTTTCTTTCTTTCTTTCTTTCTTTCTTTCTTTCTTTCTTTTTCTTTCTTCTTTCTTTCTTTCTTTCCTTTTCTTTCTTCCTCTCTCTCTCTCTCTCTCATCTCTTTTATTTCCCTCCTTCCCTCCTTCTAGATTTATATATTTGAGAGAGAGCGGGCATGTGCGCATGAGCAAGCTGCATGAGTGGGGGGAGGGGCAGAGGGAGAGAGAGAAAATCTACGCAGACTCTCTGCTGAGTGGGGAGACTGACATGGGGCTCGATCCCATGACCCTGAGATCATGATCTGAGCCAAAACTAAGAGTCAGATGCTAAACTGACTGAGCCACCCAGGCACCCCACACATTCTTTAACTTGAAGTAATATTCTTGATGAAATGTAACTACTGACTCAAAGAGGATCAGGACAGATTTAGAACATGGGATTTAAGCTGAAATGAGGTTAAGGTGAGTGAGGCACTAAGAGGGTGAAATTTAAGGGCCTTGAGAATGAATGTCTCCTTCAGTTGGGTACCCCGTGCTTCCCTGGCCTTACCTTAGTCCTGGCCCTGCACAGGATACAACTGCTGAGAGAGCTGGGGCTAGATGAAAAGCCTAAACAGGAGCGTTAAGGGGACAAGGACCAGAAATTCAAGGGGACTGTGTGGTCATGGAAGGGAGGATCTAAAGGGGAAGATGAAAAGAAACTGAAATGCAGGAGCACCAAAGACAAAGTCTAGTAGAATACAAGGCAGTTCTTCCTTGGACCCACAGTTAGAGACCCTATTCTGAACAGGGACCCAAAAGGAAAGGAGGTCACTATTTCATCAATTCATGATCTGAGCATATCTTGGCTCTTACTTGAAGTGTTAGCTTCATTCTCACTTCTTTATGTTCAAATTAGTTTTCTTGCTAACATTCCTTGTATTATCTAGCATTTTCCCTTTTCAACACTCACACAATTTTAATTATTTGCTTGATATTTGTCTTGCTTGTCAAATGGAAGCTAAAGGTATACAGAGAGCTCATTCACTACTGGAACATCGGCAGTACCTGGGACCTATTAGGCACTCATAAATAATTGTTAAACGTCCTTAAATCTTCTTGGAATTACTGGTCCAGTTAGAAAGAATTTATAGTGTTGTGACTGGGTTTCCCCATTTTCTTATCCTTCCAACGCTGGACAAAAGAAGATAAGTTTGGATCTTGCAAAATAACTGAAGTCAGAAAAATAAGTTAGAACATACTAATAGTGATTATAAAATTTTTTTATTTCATTTTTCTTATTGAATCTTGATAGTTCTTTATATATGCTGGATACAAATCCTTTATCAGATATGTGTTTTGCAAGTATTTCCTCCAAATCTGTGGCTTGTCTTTTTATTCTTGTAACAGTGTCTTTCAAGGAACAGAAGTTACTGATTTTATGAAGGCTAATTTCCTTTCTTTTAGAGATTGTGTTTTTAATGCCATACCTATAAAATCTTTATGTAACCTAAGGCTACAAAAATTTCCACCATGTTTTCTTTTAGAAGGTTTACAGTTTTAGTTTTTTGGGTTTTTTTTTTTTTTTTAAAGATTTTATTTATTTGACAGAGAGAGACACAGCGAGAGAGGGAACACAAGCAGGGGGAGTGGGAGAGGGAGAAGCAGGCCTCCCGCAGAGCGGGGAGCCCGATGCGGGGCTCGATCCCAGGACCCCGGGATCACGACCTGAGCCGAGGGCAGACGCTTAATGACTGAGCCACCCAGGCGCCCCTACAGTTTTAGTTTTTATGCATATTGTATATGGTGTGAGTTACAAGTCAAGACTCTGTTTTGGGGTTTGTTTTTTGTTTGTCCTATTATTGTTATTTTTGTATATGGATGTCCAATTGTTCTGGTACCATTTTTTTTTAAAAAAACAAAAAAAAACCCTTTATCAAAAATCCATTTTCCAGTGTATGCATATGGGTCTATTTCTGGACTCTCCATTCTACTCCATTGTTTAATGTATCTATCCTTTTGTCAATACCACACATTTTTGATAACTTTACTTTATAATAAGTCTTGAAATCAGGCAATGTCAGTCCCCAAACTCTGTTCTTATTTTTCAAAATTATTTCAGCTAATCTAGGTCCTCTGCCTTTCCTTGTAATTTTAGAATCATCTTGATGATTTCTTCAAAAAGTCCTGCTGGAATTTGAATAGGATTACAATGAGTCTTTATTAATTTTGCTTTTAACTTCAAATACTTCAGCTGTGTCAGCAAATCCAAGTCCAGTGGCACTGCAGATAAGCTTCAGACACCGAAGAATACAACGGATCTTAAGTAAGTGCTAATCAGAGAAAGATATTAAACTACCTACCGATGATCCTACACATCCTAGGAATGTAGGAAATGTTCACTGGCTAGATCTCCTGATGACTCACAAAGATGAAGGAGCTACACAGTCTCTCAAGCTTAAGGGAAATGCGATCAGTTACACCCAAAGAAGATAATCTTACTACAGCTTTTCCATATTGTCATGATCTTTACAAAAGAAATGATTAGTCAGGCAAAAGGTCCACTGAACTTTTTATATCCATATTCATGTATATATATATATATATATATATATATATATATATATATATACACACACACACACACACACACATATATACTGCTTTTTGAAATTAAAATCTCTCAACCATCCACATCTAAAAGAAGGGTTTTCTGCTCTCAACCAACCATATCTAAAAGAAGGGTTTTCTGAAACGCCAGAAGAAAAGCCTCATCTCATACAGTGGTACTGGCACAGATTAAACATCAGCATAATTAGATAAGAACTTTCAACCTTGTTTCCAAAATATCCTTTTTCGCCATCCATTAGACCCAGCAAAACATAAAAGTATTTCACCTGGATGAAGATCTGTACCTGGTTGGCTAGTCAGTCCCGGGAGAGATTCCTGCAACTGATAGGTTGAGGTCGAGGATGATGTGCCATCAGCCGCCGTGTTATTTGATGTCATATATGCTCCATACGTGGATGCTGAGTAATACTGGGCATACTGGTTTTGGCCAAAGGCTGTGTAGGATGGGTAATCCTGAAATAATAATTGAGACATATGTGTGCTTGAAGGAGAAATTACTTCTGGTATGCTCCTAAGAAAAGCAATCACTATGGTAATGGAAAGATTAGTATCTGGCTCCATTTGTTTTTGGAGTCCACAGTTTTGAGGTGATCCTAGTGAGTGCACACAGTTACGAACTATCCTGCTGGCTTCGCCAACCAGGTCCAGCACATAATTCTCAAACTGCCTAAAGGCTGCATATGCCTCACTTGACCATGATTACTTATTTGGGGATGCACATCATAAGGTCTTACGCACTGGGAGAGAAGAGAGGGTAAGCACCAGTTCTTACACATCTTCTAATATCACCAGCAAGGAGATGATATGCCTACCCCTTCTCAGTTTCCATATGGACCTCAGTTGGCGTTTATGTGATTTCTGTTACCCTTCTACATTACTCTTGATAATTATGCATGAAATAAAGAGTAAATAAAAGAAAATGAATAAGAGGCTTTTTTTTTTTTTGAGAGTTTTTTTACCCAGCCTTTTATAGGCTATGTGTCATCTAAGGGCTTGACTTAAAGTCTCTAGTGAGGTTTTCAAATACTGAGTTTGCCTCATTTGCTAGAGAAAAAAAAAGAAAGTATTGGATCAACTCCTCTGACCTGCCCTTTTTTAAAAATTTCTAAGAACCTTAAAGTGATCTAAGTAATCCTTCAAAATCCTTTTACATATTAAGATAACAAATAAGAATTTGTTGCAATAATTGGTGTTTAATGTATCTAGCATGTTTTAGCTCAAATTGTTATCAGTGATGACAAATCCTTGGTCAGGATTAAGATTCCCTGATACATATTCCTAAGGAAACAAAGATCCACATTTGATGTAGTTTCCAAAAAAGGAAGTTCTTTATATAAGTAAATATGTGTATAAGCAAATATGTGTATTAACAGAAAGGATTAAGTACAGATGACTCTTGACCAACATGGGTTTGAATTGTATGGGTCCACTGATAACGTGGATTTTTTTTCAATAAATATAGAACAGTACTATAAATGTATTTTCTCTTCCTTATGATTTTCTTAATAACATTTTCTTTTTTTCTAGCTAACCTTATTGTAAGAATACAATATATAATACATATAACATAAAGTTTGTGTTGACTGGCTGTTTATGTTATCAGTAAGGCTTCCTGTCAACAGTGGGCTATTTTAGTTAAGTTTTGGAGGAGTCAAAGGTTACACATGGGTTTTTGACTTTGTGGGGGGCTGGTGCCCCAACCCCTGTATTGTCTGGTCCAACTCTAGTATGGCAGGAAACTAAAATTCTATTTGTCTGTTAATTTCAGGATCTGATGTTCCCCATCACCACCCGTAAGCTAAGGAAAAAAACCTCTCAACAATACTTGGACAAAATTCTTAGCAACGTATCTTTCTCAGAGTAAAACAATTACACAGTACTTACTTGGTGTCAGGCAGTCTTCTAAGGCTTTAGGTGGATTTACCCATTTAATCCCCACACCCGCCTATGCGGTATTATTACCCCATTTCACATTGAGGGGGATGGAGGCACAATGTGGTTAAGTGATCTATCTGCTTGAAGTCAGACAGCTAGCAAGTTTCAGAGCTGGAACTGGAACCCAGAGAAGCTGACTCCAACATCTGTGTGCTGAAGTTCTCCCTGAGGCTGCTAATGTCCTTATGGGAAGATGAAGTGACTTAGAGGAAAGGTACAGACTGCTAGCTATTGGTGACTAAAACATCTTTTTGTACTCAGACTTATCTCAGAGATCTCCCCTTCTCTTCATCCCACTACTGCCACCCTGGTCCAAGCTACCTTCACTTCCTGTTGGAGCCAATGGACTGGTTTTCCAATTTGTTTCATTTCTAGGTTTAGTTTTCTCCCAAGTGCCTAAAGCCAGAGTAATCTTTTCAAAACATAAACTGTATGATGTTATTCTCCTGTTCGAAATCCTTCCCACTGGGCTTGGAATAAAACTGAAATCCCTCACAGAGGGATACACATACAGAGCCCCACATACAAACACAGAGAGCCAGGGCCCTGCCTGTCTTCATAAATATGCTTCTCCATCTGCCCTCATGCACAAACTAAACCCTCCCCTTCTTTGAATTCACTGGCACACCAAGGATTTCACCTCTCAGAGGTTTAGTACCTGCTACTTTCTATGCCCGAAACACCCTGGCCCTTCTTCTTCACCAGAGTCTTAGAAGACTTGTCTCGAATGTCATTTCCACAGACAAGCCTTCCACAAGATCTTCCTTACTCAAAATTAGATTTCTATTAATATTTTAATAGGACTCTGTTCTGACTCCTCATGCTTTCCAATTCTATATTTACTTATGTGTTTATTGGTTTATTGTCCTATCCACTCCTGTCCCCATTTACATGTCTCCAGCATACAGACCAGTTCCTAAGACTTGATAACTACTCAGTAAGTATTAACTAAAATAATAGACTGGTATTCCAACCATGGTCCAAAATATAGGTTATGTGTTTAAATGTTCAGATAGTACTGGATCTGTTTTATGCCATAAATCTTTCTTCTCCTTTATGAATCTTTCTTTAAATCCTCCCAAGTAGAACAGAGTAGTCTTTCCTTTATGCTACCTACCACTCTGCCTAGTATATATTTCTATTATTATATTCATTATATCCTACCCTCTTTTCATATTATTTTCTTATCTGTTTCTTTAGGATTGCTTCCTTCTAGACAGCAGAGAACAATGACATTATTTTTGAATCTTCAATGTCTAGTCAAAAGTCTAATGGATAGTTAAGTGCTCAGTAAATGTTTCCTAAATCAATAAAAAATAAGTAAAATGAAGCTACATGGATTATCAAAAATTCTCAATATTTTTAAATATAAAATAGGCATACCCAGCTTTAATGTTTAATATTAAGAAAACATTGTTCTAACCAATGCCAAATGACACAGTTTAATTCTATCAAAAATATTATTTTTCCACACTATTTAATAATCACAATTTCTTTTTTTTACTTTTGTTGCATTAATAAGCATTAAGAAGGCAATTAATATAATTCCTTCAGTAAATCCAAAGAGCACACTTGTGTGATAACTTAGATTTTAGAATATATAAAAGTCCAACAACTATGTTAAAGTAAAATAGTGTACTGTCCACTAAGGAAATCAACTACCCTTCTATCTCAACTACTCTGAACATGACTGAGAACTAGGGAATAAGGACAAAAGATTCTGAAGTGTCAGTATATTCACTCATCAGAAACATTCACTCTTGCTCCACACATAATTCGAACAAACTAGAATTTAGAACTCACAAAAATACTAAGAAAACATAATTAGGAGGAGGACTAAGGACTGTTAGAGGCAAGCACAGTGACAAACAAAAATTACAGCTGTCAGGAAAGTAGGAATCAAACATTTATCAAAATGAACCACAGGACTAGAAGAAAAAAAATCCAAGAGGCATTTGGTTTAGTAACAAATATTCTGGACTAAAATTGTCATAACCTAATTATTGGTTGTAGTTCAATCTCTTAACATTCATAATATCTTGTCAAAAAAATAAAATTATGTTTAGTACAGTTTAAAATAATAGGAAAATATGCAATACATTTTGTAGTTCTATGCCAAATGATTAAAATGATCATGGCTTAAAAATGTAAAGGGCAAACTTTCAGCAACCAGAAAACCTAAAATACCCAGAATAACACAGATCCCAAGAATTCTGGAAAGCTACTTTTTACCACCTTGAAATGCCATCTTAATTTTAAATAAAGAAACCTTTTTCTAGGAGAATATGCACTTATATGACAACCTGAAACTATTCTTCAAAGATGTGAAACAGATACAAAAAGCCTAAATACAAAAAAGCTACTATACCTGTTGTGAACCACTAAAATTCGTTGAATTGGAGACTGAATTATTTGCATAAATAGTAGATGATGGCGCAAAACTAGAACCTAGAAATAAAGAACAAATTGCATTTAAAAAGTATTTCTTTGCAAAATAATAACATTTCACTTTGCAGAATCCAACGAAAGAAATATATTTTTAATTTTGTTAAGGCAACAAAACGTGAAATTTGAAGTTGAAAGATTTATAAGGAAAAATGTGCTTAGCTCTATCCCTCTTGTGAGAACAGTTAAAGTCTTTGCTATAGATGTCTGTTGGACTAAACAGGAGCACATGGGAACAGTCTTAAGGACAGCAGCTAACCTTTAAAGGTTAAATGTCTAGAAGAGCAGAGGTTTTCAAAGAATAAAATGTGATGCAGACAGAGTACTCCTAGGAAGCTACTGGAACTTTCAAATGGTCATACCAATTGCATATGCACACAGAAACCATTTGAGTTAAAATGTGGATGGGTTTAGCTTAGGAAACAGAGAACCAACTTAGAATTGATGCTTACAGCACCCTGTCTTTTCTTTCCTCCTATGTCCTTTCCTTAGGTCCAAGAGAGATGTGAAGTGGGGCTCAGACTCAAGGAAGAGCTGTTCACACTACAGTCACCTAGGGTTTGAGAGCCTTCTAAAATTTGACTACACAGTTAGAAATTTAATTATTTTTTAAATTCAAATTTTAAATTATTTTTTAAATTAAAAACAAGTGAAATATCAATTTAAAGATTAGTTTTTTAAAACATACATTCTACAGAATGGACTTATGAGGAAGTAAAATGAAAGACTATTGACACAGCTGATTATTTGTTTTATCACTGTGTTCTGAATTGCAACGGTATTATGTAATTAACGCAAACTGACCTGGCCCAGAATATCCAACAAGTATTTGGGGGAATAAATGAAAATACATTCATGGTTGCTTTCATACTCCTAACTGAAGCTGTGTGGCTCACTGTGGCTTTCCCATTTATGCAACTATATTTCTACCTACAGTTTAGGTAAAAAGAGACCTGCCATTTCAGCCAAAAAGGTCTAGGTAATTATTTCATTTTAGTCGATGGACTAAAATTTCAACACCAGTTGATTAAAAAAGTATGTTCATGTAACCCCTAATTTATGACTAACAATACAGATAAAATGACAGAAACAAGCTTTTAATGTATTTACTATATCACTAAAATTCTGCAACTACTACATAATGATCAGATGTAGAAGCAAAATTAAATACTCAGATACGGAGGATTTTTGCAGGGGGAGGTACAAATTACATAAATATTTCTAGTAAGAAATAGAGTATTAAGAGAGGAGGGGTATTTGAGGAATGAACAGAAAATCCAAAACAGTTCAATGGTAAATAGGACTTAGAAAGGTACTAATTCAATTTTAAATATAATCAAAGCAACATTACATACTTAAGGAATACAGACAAGAAAATACTGGGACTTTTTATGAATCTTTGAACCTCACTTAAGGAGATGCCCTACGTGTGACTGATGTGGCCCAGAGGTTACTCTGCTTGGACCTAATGTCCTGCCAATTATATACAACCTCAACTTAAGTACTGAAATTCGGTATGGGTCATGTTTCCTGATGTATATTCAATTCTTTTCACCATGTTTTTTTTTTCCCCCTAGTTATTTGTCTTTCCTGATGTGAAGAGCAGTAGCAATTAAAACCATTTTCATGAAGGCATATTCCTACTCTGAAGCCAAGGAGTCTCATCCAGAGAATTCCTCCTCACGTAACACGCTTCCTGTGTGGTGGCTTACCTGGCATCTGGTAAGAATAAGGCGTCTGGCCTGGCTGTGGGGTAGAAAACCCCGGGCTGTAACTGAGGCACCCACTCTGTAACGGGGACTGAGTCTGTGAAAGTCCGCTCTCTGTCTTGATGCCCGGCAACATCACGCCGAGATCTGTTTCGGAAACACACGTGCAGACCCTTGCATTAGTAAAATGACCCTGCTCCTGAGTTGTAACTTATGCTAGAATATCTAAGCACTAGGCAGCGGGATTACCCGCTCATAAGCAAAGGAGCAGAGAGAAGACGTGAGATACCGTATGTGGGCAGGCTGTAGGGCTGTCCTGTCTGTGAGTAGGCTGTGTAGACGGCTGGCTGCTGCATCCCCGAATACTGAGTCTGGCCTGCGTAGGCAGACATTGTTTGAGCTGCTGGTGTAGAAAGAATGTGTGGATAGGGCCTAAATATCAGAAAAATAGCATTACTGTGGCAACAAAGACTGCACATTATTTCAGACAGCTTAGATTCAGTGAAACCTTATAATAGCCAGGAAGTAATCCTCTTCTTTATCCACAATACAATTCTAACAATAGGGAAAGGACAAGAGTCCAAACGTCCGAGCTACAGATCAGTCTAGTGACTTAGGACAAATGGTTTACACTCCCTAAAGACTTACACCTCACCTGTAAAATGAGAAATTTGGATCAGATATTGTATCTAAAGTCTCTTCCAAGTCTATAGTACTTGTTTACCTCTGAAATAGTATTCTAATTAATGTGCAGGGCAGGGAAGGGGGGCCCAGACCAGTTAGCATGCTCATGAGCATAGTCGCAGTCACTACGAGTGACCTACTGCTCTACAGCGGATACAAGAGTCATGAAAAGCCCTACCAAGAACTCTCTACCAAGAACGGGACATTTAAAAAAAGAAAAGAAAGGAAAAAGGTAGGCAGCTGCTTCCTGAACAGAAATGGAATGCCACTCCCTTTATCATGCCACATTTTACAGAATGTTCCTGAATGGGTGGGTATCCAAACACCAGTCTGTACTTAGGCGTAGAGACTGTAGCTGGTTGCAGAGATTAACATTTAAATGTGTGTGAATCATCGCTCCAAAATCTTATTAACACATCTGGCTGATTGTAACCAAATTCAGACATGTACCTAATATTGTTAAATTTGGAATTTCTACCCCTGTCTTCAATAAGTTGATTTCATTTGTTATAAAAACAACAGAGCACATTATTCAAAAATATGTTTCTGAGAACTTGAAATCCAATGAAAATAATGGAATATGGAACAAATTATGAAGGGTTAACGTTTGAATAAAATATAACCTTTTTAGATTTTCTTTAAGCTAGTCAGCATTTTTGACTTTCCATTAAGAAATCAGTGTTTTCTGGTTTGAGCTTGATGCTTTCCTCAAGGTATACAAAGATCCAGAATTAACGGAATTGTCTGGACAAACATGAGTATATCTCTACTTCTAGATTTGTAAAGGACATTTATCCATATGTCTAATCCACCCAACTGATTTATACAAGCATTCATCTATTCAACTATCTATAACACACTTATATACGTAAAGGTATCCCAATATGAAGTTATGTTGTGTGAATACAGATTAATAAAGATAATCCTGGAAAATTATTCTAACAAATCTGAAAGAATCTACTGAGCACTTACTTGGAAGGATAGAGCTGTGGGGAATATTGATGCGCTGATCTGGGGCTGTAGCCACTACTTGTTATTACTGTAAAACACAAAAACCAGTGCAAAAAATAGTTGCTTCATGAGTAAGTTTCACTAGAATGACAAAACCAGTTTGAAGAAATTATCATGTTGAAGAGATGTCCCTAATAATTCACTTATTTTCTAAACAGAAAAAAATCATTTTCTAAACAGAAACAGATGCCTAAATATTTTCTTCTAATTGAACTGCTTCAAGTTTGCTCTAAGAGCATAAAATGAAATCTTCCAGCATAAAATGAAATCTTCTCACAAATCCTTTCTCTCTGTCTTTCTTTTGCTTTCTCACATCAATAGCATATTCTTATGTATGATGAAGTGTGAATAAACATCTTTGATTACAGATCATTAAGATTTCTTTCATGACAAAGTAAATTTTCAAAATTTTCAGACCTTATGTTTTATGTTTTAAATTCCAAATATGACAGCAACATATTGCTCTTCTTCCATATTTATTCTACTAAAAATACAATAAAAATTCAGGAAAAATGTGAAGTTCCAGCTTCACTTTGAAATTGTAAAATGCTATCATTTTATATTGCCTCGAAGTTTACCAATCAGATGACGGTTAAGAATGCAGAGTCCAAAATGTCTGAGTACTAACTGGAATATGCATAGAAATCGTGACGGATAAGGCACCACGTCTTAAGAAACATAATTGCATAATGCAGCAGTAATCATATTTACAAATATATTTTGAACTATCAGAGAAAGCTCTTTTTTGAGAAGAACTTAAAGGTGAAAGCCAGGTCCTATTAACATTTTGTCCTACCATGCAGCCCCAAACTGGAATACATTCAGAAGTTTGGAAGTTTCTCTTTCCCTTCACCATCTGCCTTGACTAAGACAGATGTATTGCAAATATATGGACTCCAAAGTATTGAGGCAGTCCCTTCAGAGCCAATCCATACTGGGCAGGCACACAGAGTGTCTTTATTAAGCCATCTGCTGTTCATTCACTTTTCAAAAAGATTAAAGTAGTACACAATGCAGTGCTGGAATTAGTTTAGTCTAATCAATCATAGTTATACTTCAAAGTACTAGGTCCTTCCTAAGTTGTTCATAATAATTCTGGAGCTAAACTTTTAGAGTTATAAAAGTGACAAATAGGTTTAGGTTGTTAACTATTTTATGAAATATGATATATTTCTATATCCAAATGCTATTAAGTACCTTTGTGATCTGTCATTTCATAAACACATAGAATTTAATGTATTTAAAATTCTATTTTGGCCTGTAGGCTTTGAGCATGGACAGTATATTACAGTTTTCATAGCAATAGGTGCAGAAGTTTGTTTTCAAGGATATTATGAATCAATTTTGAAAATCACTGAATATGACGAGAGGTGTCATGTTCTAAATATTTTAATCAAGCAAAATTTAAGTGAATTTGCTATATAAATTTGAAAATCAATTGACCAATGAACCATTAATTTTCTACTGATTTATTAAAGGCTTAATGTTCAAAACTTGTTTCAAATCACTTCAGTGAGAACACTCTTTTTCTACCACACCATAGGCACTAAGTGTACATTACATAATAGCAATAATGTTATTCCCCAGGAAATTCAGTCTGGTTCATTAACTCACAATAGTGAATACTCTTTTTAGCAAAAATATAGTTAAATGAGGCATAACTTCATGTGTTTTTGTCTCTTATTTACAAAATGTCACTTTGGCACACTCAAGACTTTATAGTAATCAGGTCTTCTCAAGATTGCAAATCACAAAGCTTTTCCAAAGAGACATCAAGTAATGAAAAGAACCATCCACCACAGCAGCTTTTATAAAAAAAAACCAAAAACCAAAAAAAAAAAAAAAAAAAAACAGGCCAAAGAGCAAAATTATTTCAGAAAAAAGCCCCATATACCTGAATGGAAATCTGAATATATAGGATTTTCCTCCTGCTAATGAATGAATCTAGGCAACATTAAAATAATGTACCCATAACAGTATCAAGGCTTAACATTTAAAATTTCTATTACTATCTGTATGTTCACTTTCTAAATAGAATGCAAAACCTCTGGCTCAGAAAACTAAGATGTTCACACAAAACTTGCTTCTAAACTAAAATGTATATTTATTCTAACTCATGAATCTGCAGATAACCGAAAACAACAAAATTTGACTAAAGTGGGTTGAGATTATACTGACCAGAGTAAAGTCTGTTCCTACACAGGGCAGCCTAATCTCCAGTATGGTTTCTGGGCTACCATGTACAGATTTCAGAGATTTTCCTTTCATTCCCCATTGTCATTTCAGTAAACAAGAGATATTACCCCAAAGCACTCAACTTATTATATTCCATCATCTCTACAAATAAAAGTAAGCAAACTGCTTGTTTTTAAAAGGTCCTGAAAATTAATTACAACAAATTTCTATACAATATTACCAGATTCTCAGAGCATCATGCAAACAATTTTAAGGTTTTATTCTAATTACTGTGTCACCTTAGATCAGAGACTCTCAATGGGGTAGGTGATGGGAAGTGAGGGAGCTGGGCAGGTAGGAATTTTGCCTGTGAGGGGACATTTAAAATGTCTGGAGACATTTTGGGTTGTCATAACTGGGGAGTGCTACGGTCATTCTGGGATAGACAGTGGGGATGCTGCTAAACCTCTTCTAACACAGAGGACAGATCCTCCCCTACAAACAAAAAAAGAAAAAAAGTTAGCCAAATTTTTAATAGTGCTGCTGTTGGGAATCCCTGACTTAGAACACTGTTGTCCAGAAAAACCTGTCCAACAACCTTCCGTGGAGCTGGAAATGTTCTGTAGCTGAGTTGTTCAACACCGTAGCCACGGGAAGACCACAGGCAGCTCTTAAACACTTGAAATGTGACTGTTGTGACTAGAAAAAACATTTTTCCTTTTACCAAATTTTAAGATAACTGAGACTTAAATAGCCCCCTATGGCTAGTGACTATGGGACAGCGCATCCCTAGATAATTCGTAAAAGAAAACTGGGCAACTATTTGTAAAGATAATGTGAGTGAATTTTAGACAGGATGGCAGCTCACAGCTATTTCTTTTTCCATTCTTATATTTTCCAATGGGGTAGTACAGAAGGGACTCCCAGACTGATCAGAACACTGCTCTGCACTCATTCATACCAGTGAGCAGCTGTGAGGCCTGGACCCTATGGCCTTCACACCTTTAACTTATCTGCACCTCTGTATTCTTGCCTATAAATCAGATCAGAGACCTCTGAAATTCCTCGTGCGGCTAACATTTTACAATGTTGTCGTTTAGCTATCAGTGAACTTGTGGTATGGTATTTAAGTATGCCAACAGTTACTTAGTAATTTCACTTATTTCCCTAAAAATGTGTTCCCATGCACACACTCTGCAGAAAGTTTACCAGAGTTATGGTAGGTGAACAATAAAGACTGCTAGAGTAAGTTGCTACCTATTTAGCTCCTGGGAGGCAAGTGAATTGCTAGAAAGCCTATGGATTAGCGCATGTGAGTCTCAATGCAGAGTGTAAGAATTATTACCTTCCTGTCTGAAATACTAATATTTATGTGAATACACAGCAACTGCTCCCAATCAGTGTGAACTAATGAGAGGGGCTCCTGTGTATCTATAAAAATGCAATGTATGCTACCAGGATGCTATACTCAAGGACATGCCTCCACTCTTCATACCTGAAGCATACCCACATACAACCTCCGTATGTGAGAGTATGGATAAAACGTTACGCTGTATTAAGGTAGACCGAAAGAACCATGATGTAATTATCACAGAAACTTCTCTAGGTTTACTGTTCATCTTTGTGCTATTCAAATTCCTTCTCAGGTTAAAAAAAAAAAAAAAAAAAATCCTTTCACCAGATAACAAACTAAACAAAATATTGTAGCTTAAAATCTTGAACGAAGTCAACTTAATGCGTGTCCTTTGTGCCCACCTGGGAGTTATCAGGTATTTATATTTAAAAGGACTGCTGTTTAAAGACATGCTATTGTTCTCTTTGAAGCACTGGGTGAAAGTAGTGCTCTCAGGCTGGGTTCTAATGCAACCAGCATGTGTCCTCCCAAAGCCCATTAACCTTTAATACTTGTCACTCAGCTGCTTACACAGGAGGATTTTTTTTAAACCCAGAGAGGAAACAAGGTTATTTAGAAGGAATCAAATGGATAGTTTTACATCTCGAATGTTGGGAGAGAAGGGAGTTTTTTATGCCATTTAAATGGACAAGTCAAGGGAACAAAGCCAACGATTACAACCTAATTATTAAATTAAACACTCTATAAAATAACTCCAAAGGAAGCCAGCCCTGCTTCTTCCTAACAAGAAAGTCAGAGGACTGTTTTGCTGTCAACTGAAAAATCCAGCAAAACGATTCCAAGTATAATTTTTTAAAAGTATATACTTTTATGACAATTAGTTCTCCAAAAACTAAATCTAACGCTAAATCAATAAAAACCCGCGTTCTCAAAACTCCGCTGTTTATTCACCAGGAAGATGGTGAGCACCCCAATGTGTACGTAGCGACGCGTGAGCTTAAGGCTTTACCTGACCCAGTAAAAGTGTCAAGGGTTCCATCTCCAGTGGTGGTTGCTGCTTCGCTGCTGTTCAAAGGCTCTGTTTTGACTGCAAGGAGAGACACTATGTAGAAGAATAAGTACAGGTGAGTTTTATTTCTAAAGTTTTATCAAAGACGCTGATTGTTCCACTAGTGGCTTTTCCAACTACCATGGGCATGCAAAAGAGAAAACTTGAGAAGTCGATGAGGAAAGTTTTGTTAATTTAGCTTCTAGAAAGTGGACATGCATTTGCAGAGGATTCAGTATAAAAATCCTCTGACTAAGCTAGTTCTCTCAGATCTGGGTTTTAAAGGCAGTCAACCTTATAAAGGGAAGCAGGAGTACACATACTTGCATTTGTAACTCACCTAAGCACCCTCTGACATTAGAGTCAAAAGACAGAAAAAACGAATCACAGTCGGTCTTCAGCCCATTTAATCCAAATCATAACAAAGAGATTTACTAGCTTGTATTTTATTCTTCCCAAGGAGACATTAAAAAAAAAAAAAGATTGATTGCCTAAGAGCACAATGGAGGCATATGGAAATACAGAGACCACGGGCCTGTTCCTGAGATGGGTGAAAAATGAGGCACTCTAAATAAATTTCTGCTCTTAAATACACTAAACAGTCATAAGATGTTGGGGTTTTTAGTTTAATGGTAAAACAATTTTTAATGCATTACAGAGATAAGCAGAGAGAAAGAGATCATTTCTACAGCAGTGAGTACATCTTCTGAAAACTCTTCAAAATGTTATTATTACTCTGAAGTAGTCTATTTTGCCAAAATCCTCACTTGGGAACGATGTGAGCAGGCACACCTCATCATTGTTATTAGATGCAGTGAGTGGGGGAGGGGGGCCGTGAAAAAGCCTCGACCTGTTTTTGTCACACCATATTTTCCCTTTGTGGGCAAAGCTCTGCTACATACATCACAGAAGCAAGGAGATCAACTAAATTATTTTCTACTTAACACCTCTTATGTTTCCTGGTCATAAAATGGAATGATACAGTTAAATAACTCAGAAGCAAGCAGAAAACTATAAAGAAGAAAGCTGAAGACTAGCCAACCATGAGCAAACATGGCAAAAAGAACAGTGGGGTCAGAGTGTCCCCATCAACCAAGCAAGTCAGCAATGTTACTCTGTTAGAAAGGCAATTAACTGATGGAGAAACATGCAGTAATGATTATGCTCTCTTTCCACAGAAACAGAATTGACTGGACTCCCCCCCAACCCTCAGTGAGCCCTGGAGTTAAGTTAGCATCCATGACTGAATAATGTCATGAAGATTTGCCCAAAGATTCAGAGGAGAACTGTAAAGTTTGGAAAGCAGAAGTGAAGAAATTTGGATTACTTATCCTAGCAAAAGGGAAGTTTGAGGTTACCCTATTTTTCAATAGCAACAATAATCTGAGGACTAGGGTTTAGTTATTTGTATAATGATAAATAATGAATTGGTGGTTAAAACTTTATGGTAGTAAAATTTACATAGTAGTCCGTTTATAGTTATACCTGACTACTAATTATATTTCCCACTACAAAATTATTTACTAATGGGGCACCTGGGTGGCTCAGTGAGTTAAGCGTCTGCCTTCGGCTCAGGTCATGATCCCGGGGTCCTGGGATGGAGCCCCACATCGGGCTCCCTGCTCGGTGGGGAGCCTGCTTCTCCCTCTCCCACTCCCCCTACTTGTGTTCCCTCTCTCACTGTCTCTCTCTGTCAAATAAATAAATAAAATCTTAAAAAAAATTATTTACTACTACAAAACTATTTATCAAGAGCTCATTTCTCCCTCATGACAATCATATGAGGTAGATAATATTATCATCTTAATTCTTCAGATAACAAACCTGAAGCACAAAGTAGCTAAATAACTTGCCTACAGTCACATAGCTAGTAAGAACTAGAATTTGAGACCAGGTGGTGTGGTTTCAGAATCTAAATTCTAAACCATACTGCCTCTCAGGAAGCACTAACTAAAAAAGAATTCCTTTTATCTGTATGAAGATGATCCAGAGTGTGACCTAGGTGGATGTAAAGCTCTCTTTCTGATGTAATGCCCACATTCGACTTCTGACAAAAAAGCACAGCCGAAAGCCTTCAGCAACACTAATACAAGGGACAGTCTCTTGAAACTTCCAAATTCTAATGCTGGGTACTTTCCTATTTACCTGTGTTTAAATCTATAAACAATTGTAAAATAGATGTAAAAAAATTACGTATTTTACTTGTGAATTGAGGAGAAAGGAGCAGAACGAGAGCTGGGTCTAAAAAACTAGTCTAGAAGCCAGACATGAGGATTAGTTCTGTTACTCTAGATCCCAGCTTTGTATTGATGTTGATTATAATCGCCTCAATTTGAAAGTTTCAGGTGGTCAAAAAGAGAAGGAAATAAAGGGAGACAAAGAGTTGTGGTTGCATTCACCATCCTGGAAACATCTCTCATTAAAACTTTAAAGATCTGAATTTAGTCAAAGACAAAGAAGTTCCATTTTACCGAGAAAAGGCATTCGTAGAAAGTATATGAAGAGAAGCATAAATGTCAAGATGTGTTCAGTGTACTAACATGCATGGATTTTAAAGTACTAACTCAACAAATGGATTTGGAGAAAAACTGCACATTAATGCTAATTTATTTCTCATATGCAGTTAAGAACAAAAAGGAAAAGAGGGAAATTTGATTATGTTGCTACGAAAAGCAAATTATTCTCACATTAGGTGGACATCAACAAACATCTCTTGGCTCCAAGTAAAATGCAAAGTTAATTTGGTTTGATTTTGTAAAGAAAAAAAAATAACATTAGGTAATAAAAAATAATTTGTTCTTCCAGGGGCAGAAAACTAAGAGGACATTCCATATATGATTCCATATATGATTAGTTAATTAAAAAGACAGAATACAAATAAGTATCCTAATATTTATAAAACAGGTAACTAGTAAAATGGAAACACTATCTTAATTACAAAGCTTGAAAAATGCAAGTCATTTTCAATAAAGGTTCAAACATATTTAAAATGTATTCCATTTTCTTTTGTCTTGGTTTTGTTTCTGCACTTTCAATTAAATATACCATATACTTTATTAGTGGCAGGAAACTTTGTTTTTAGTTAAATATGTGCAAGGCATTACTGGAAAGATATTCATCAATGAAAGATCTTACTATTTTCTAAAACTTATAAAAATCCTCATTCCAAATGATCATCAGTGTAATTCATTGTCATGTTCAAATGTAACTTTTTCTCACTGTATTTCACTTTTCTTAAATTAACACAGGTTCAACAGGGTTTTTAACTTATTAGGACAATCTCCACAATCATTACATGCTATAAAATGGAAAGGACAATCTTCTAGAAGTGATAAACATAATATTTTTCAAAAAAATGAAACTTATAAATGTTTTGATTTCAAAAGTAACAAGCATATTTTAATGTCCTAAGTTAAAGAGTATTGTGGTTTTACTCTTCTCTATGTTCAAAATAAGTAATTCGGCATTCAGGGTTAATTCAGTAATTCAGGGTTTCTCTAAAGGATGACAAACTATATACAGCACTCTGTACAGAACTTATTATTCAAGAAATACTTGTATTGTCAACCCCCCCCCACTAGTTACATATTTGCAATTTGGATCTTTTTCATAGAGCCAAACTTAAAAAAAAAAGTCAAAATATTTTTAATATATTGATTGTAATATGTTGGTATAATTGGATTTTATTTTTCACCTTTAAAGATAATTGCTATCTATGGACTAAACCAAAACTGTATGTGATTATTGTCGGCTGTCAGCTGTGCCTCGGCCTTCATCCCTACCCTCCTGCACATATTTTCAAAGCAAATTTAATCTTGTCTGTTCAGATTATCTTTGGAACTCAAGTACAACATTAATGTTTATTAAATATTTGTGAAGAAAGTCTGTTTATTATAATAATCCAAAGTTCATGTTCGTTAGTTGCGATAGCAGATTTAATCCTTGAAGGAGAAGGTGACCCAAGTAATTTACATTTTACATTTCATCTTCCAAAATCTGTGCTTAAACTGGTGTACACTTAAAAGACATATATATGTTAATTCTAAATATACTTCTTTCTGAACCACAAAATCACCCATAGCTCCTTCTAACAGCATAAGTTCTACAAAGAATTTCAGGAGGAGTTAGATTAGGAAGGTTACAATTTATAACACTGCAGGGAACACACAGTATTGCCTACCAATTTTAATAATTAGTATAGTCTATGATTTATGTTTGTCTAAATCAATATATTCACTCTAAAATCTATGAGCACCAAGTGTCTTTCACTCCTAAATATCCAGAAAGTAATTTCGTAAAATAATTTGATAAAACAATTTATGGTTTTCATTAAAAAGAAATCTAAAAAGAAATAGAGCCACGATAGTAGGTGGTTCTACTTCACAAACACATAACATTTGGAAATAAACCCCTTGCCTAAGTCAATCATCTGTATAATAAATATAATAAAAATTCTGGAAGATTCTTTTCTATGATATATAGATTTTAAATAGAGAAAATGTTATAAATCTGATCAGAATGTCTGATTTAGGTTCCCCCAAACCTTCTCTTTAAAGCATTTTCTTAATCTCCATGTAGAATCAAATATTCCTTCCCTCTGCTATGCACCCACCTTGAACACATTATGCACTCATTACTTTCTTGTCTGTTTCCCTCTGCTGGACTTTTGGTCCCTTGATGGCCAGTATCATATTCTATAGGTCAATGGGTTCCTATTTCCTAGCACAGAGCCTGGCATATAACAGGAACTTGATACATTTTAATTGAGAAAGTGAAAATCTACTTTTAGATCCTATCCTAAGCAATTCCAACAGATGTCTTTCTGTAAAGTACAGCTAATCATGAATCTTGACACCATTAAGCAAATAAAAATCTTACCTATTTCTGTAAGTAACTTTTTATATGATTGGCATGCATTTATGTGCATAAATATGCATATACATGAAGTATACAGAGCATAAAGATGGCTTTATATCGGGGGTCAGCGAACTATATCCTACATGCCAAATCTTCCCCATGGCCTGTTTCTGTATAGCCTGTGAGTTATGAATGGCTTTTAAATTTTTTGATAGTTGAAGAATATTAAAAGACGAATATTTGTGACATGTGAAAATTTTCTTTAATTCAAATTTCAGTGTTCACAGATCAAATTTTATTTGAACACAGCCAAGGTCATTGTCTATGGCTGCTTTTGTGGAACAACAGCAGAGCTGAATAGCTAAAACAGAGACCACATAACCTGCAAAGCCGAAAATATTTACCATCTGACCCTTTACAGAAAAAATTTGTTAACCACTGATCTACATGCTAGGGTATGATTGCATTTATTCCGCTTTTATTGACAGTTCTACATTTTAATAATTTTACAAGCAACAAAAATTTGAAAGGAAAATTAGTTTCCAATATAAATCTGCAGATGTAATTATATAATTAGGACTAAGGTGCTGAAACACTTTAAATCAATTCAAGGAATAATGTAATATATTTAAAGAGTATCAATGTAGTATGGTAGGATATTAAGGTGACACTATCAACTTATTCATATTAGTAAAAACTATATAATTAAAGTCCTTCTGAAAATCTCAAAGTTAATGGAAAGATTTTCAAAAGCCACTAAATTAGCTTTTGCTTTTTCCTTTTTTTATAATAATTTTATAAAGTGATCCAATTCCCACAATAAAACCCAATATTAAAAATAAAACAGTTTAGGGGCACCTGGGTGGCTCAGTCGTTAGGGGTCTGCCTTTGGCTCAGGTCATGATCCCAGCATCCTGGGATCCAGCCCCACATCAGGCTCCCTGCTCTGCAGGAAAGCCTCCAAGACTACATCGTTAATAATCAAAGTATACCTAACATTTTATTATTAAAAGCTTGCCTTCTTTGGCCAGTTTACACATTCTAAATGCTGAAAATATACTATATGACCAAACATTGGAGAGTCTTTTAACATAATGCATGTTTTCATTTTCCTTAAAAACTACTGCCTAGTTATTACTGAATTATTAATTAAAGAAAGGGAAATATACTGTTTTTTACTGGCAAACAATTTGTATTCTTATCTAATTTAAGACAAAAGCTTTGGCATGGAAATATTATCCTCCTTCTATAGAAAGAGATTAAGGCTCAGAGAGGTTAAGTAACTTGTCCAAGGTGACACAGCTAGTAAGTGTGTTCCTTCTGACACACAATTCCTGTTCTTCCCACATGGCCACGTAACTATTAACATTAATGCTAAGAATTAGGAAAATCTGAGGCTTAATATTTAGAAAAATGTTTCTTGGGGCGCCTGGGTGGCTCAGTCGTTAAGCATCTGCCTTCAGCTCAGGTCATGATCCCAAGGTCCTGGGATGGAGCCCCGCATCGGGCTCCTGCTTGGCGGGAAGCCTGCTTCTCCCTCTCCCACTCCCCCTGCTTGTGTTCCCTCTCTCGCTGTGTCTCTCTCTGTCAAATAAATAAATAAAATCTTTAAAAAAAAAAAGACTCCAAAAAAAAAAATGTTTCTGGTTGAGATTAGATCTAAATTATTAAATACTGATTGTACATATGTAAAGTTGCCCATGTTACATGAATATTTGAGAAGAGAACAATAGCCAGTGAGCTAAAAATGTTTTTTACAAATGAAATGTTTAAAAAATAAATAAAAACTAGAATATTTTATGATGTGATGACTATGAAATTTAAATACTAGGATCCATAAATAAGGTTTTATTGGAACCTGATGAATCTCATCCATTTATGCATTGCCTATGCCTGTTTTTGAGTTATTGGTGACATAGCTGAGTAGATGAGACAGACATGGTATGCTCTATAAAGGCTAAAATATTTATTATCTGGCCCTTTATAGAAAAAGACCCTGAGTTAGAATTAAGAGAAACTAAATTCTTGCAACATATTTTAAGTATAAAATGTATATTTTAATTTTTTTTTTTTTTAAGATTTATTTATTTATTTGAGAGAGCGAGAATGAGAGAGAGTACATGAGAGGGGGGAGTGTCAGAGGGAGAAGCAGGCTCCTCGCTGAGCAGGGAGCCCGATGCAGGACTCGATCCCGGGACTCCAGGATCATGACCTGAGCCGAAGGCAGTTGCTTAACTAACTGAGCCACCCAGGCGCCCTAAAATGTATATTTTAAGTGTGGAATTGAAAAACATTTTGAGCTAAAATTATAGAAAAACATAAATAATGTGTATAATGGAGTATTCTTCATTCACTGGCCATATATTTTAATTTAATTAAATACAGCAAGATCCAGCCAAACTGCCTATCCTAACTGTTCTCTTATAATGCACATTTCCAACAGGTAAGGATGTCTTCTTATTAATCTTAAAATTGGGTGATTTCATGTTAGTGTTACAGTTTTGCTTTTATTTTTTGATTTTGATAATATATTAACTTTTGATTTAGAAAAAAAATTTTTATGGGGCACCTGGGTGGCTCATTTGGTTGAGTGTCCGGCTTTTGGTTTAGGCTCAGGTCACGATCTCAGGGTCCTGGGATTGAGTCCCACGTCCGGCTCCATGCTTAACGGGGAGTCTTCTTGAGGATTCTTTCTCTCCCTCTCCTTTTGCCCCTCCCCAGCCTCTCTCTCTCTCTAATAAATAAATAACTCTTTTAAAAAAAAAGAAGGTTTGTTTATACTTTTATATATTTTGTGTATATGAATGTAGTAATTATAGTTCAAAGTATTTTAAGGATTAATATTGATTTATAATTTTAAATGTATAGCTTTCACACTGATAATTCTTTAAATGATGGAATTTTAAATGTTTATGTTATACTTTAGACACTTTAACTGGATTATTTATTGAAGTCCATAAAATCACAAATATCTTCTTGCCATGTTAAGAATTTAAATTAAGACAGTCTGTAGGTTATGGAGATGACTGAGTCTGTATGTATGTACAATCTGCTTCACCTGCTCTTATTGATAGGACTGCTGTGCTGAATTAGCCACTTAGATGATATGTAGTTAGAAAGACAATAGCTGCATCTGTTGGTGTGACATTATAAAAAAATGTAAGAAAAAAACAGTACTGGTCTAAGGAATCTCAGATTAGAATAGTAGTTGGTAAGAAAAAAAACATAGTCAACTGTTATCTATAAACAACAAAAAGTCATGTTTATTTCTCCTTTTTCTTTACAAGTACTTAACACAGGAAGTGCAAACAGAAATAGCAACAGAAAGCAAACCAGAAGGGCAATACCACACACCCAAACGCATGCAGTGTACCATCATCTCTCATACTTGTTGCGGAAGAGGGGGTGTTGCAACTCAGCAACCAGTCTGCAGTGTTTAAAACAGTCATGTTGTCCCCTGAGAACAGGAACAGTATAAGGGTTCATTGTCCGAATGCCTGCTCAGTGTACATGAATAGTCTTCAATGCTTGCACTGGTTCCTGACCTTTTAGCCAAAATCGTAACTGCAATGTATGACTTTTATACTTTATCAGGTCTGTTTTAGTTCAGTTAAATACATACACATGATGATTAGTGAACTCCAAGGTTTGATTCCAGAGTTTTTAAAAATCTTATTATTTGTACCCAAGTTAAGGTTTAAACATAAATGTTCTTACACCAGAAATCATCATTAAACAATCTTATAAATTTGCAATCCTATAATTAATTAGCTAAAATTATAGATGCAAGTTTAGAGACAAATAAACATTATAAACAAGGAAATGTTAATCTACAATGGGTTTGGTGTAAAACACTATTAAATACAGGCAAATTGCAATGCACACAACTTTACAAAAAAATTTTAGACTGCACAGTTATTTTAAATTAAATGGGAAGAGGTGTATCAATTTCATAAATACTGAAAATTTAAAAGAAAATATGATGTGGCAAATGCTGTTATCTAATAATATAATTAGTTTATAAATTAAAACTAATTTCATATAATTTTTCTCTTATTGACTAAAACAGATCTATAAAACTTCAAAATGATGGAGAATAACTTAAAAAGTAGCTTACACATAATGTGTATATATTTGACATCTCTCTACATATTCTGATGTAAAAATTGACCATATATTTTGATGGCTGAGCGCTTTTTATAAAATTAGTAGGGCAGGATATCTGAAATAACTGTTATTATGCTGTGGCATAATTATAGGCTAATCAAATGAGAAAGTATCTGAAAAAAATTTAATTCCCAATTTAAATACATCAGGTATTAATCTCTTTGAAAAGAAAGTGCAGCAGACATAAATATTTTTCTATTCTCAAACCTCTTTTAAGAAAAAAAAGAAAAATTTGGGATAGCCTTTCTCCTGCAATTCAAAATAAAACCAAAAACTAGTATACTAGTATAATTTCTTTTCTGTCTCTCTCTCTCTCTCTCTCTCTCTCACAAGATCAGAGTGCAGATCTTTTTGGCCACATTTTCTACTTTTTTTTTTTTTTTTGGAATACTTACAAGGGCAAATACAAAAAGGGAGCTTTGCTAAAAGCCTTCAAAGTGTTGTTCAGGGATATCTATTCTTTCTGAAATTTTCCAGCTACAGAGGAGGTGCAAAAGTTTCAAGAAAATCAACAGAATAACAGACAGTCTATTGGCCATATATTCCCCGGATATAATGCTGATTATGTTATTACTGATAAGGATTTATTTATTAGCAGATCCGTAGCATGTGAAATTATAGCAAACATTGAAATGTGCTTCTGGGTGTCTCTGGGGTGGTACACTTACCTCCTGTGCCATTTGTGGTGACAGATGTGCTGCTGAGATTAGCCTTCTCCAGTTTGGAGCTACCAGGAGTATCACCACTTCCAACAAGAGGATGAGGACTTGCGAGGTCCTGCATTTCCATAGACCTGATAGAGCAGGAAGCAGCAGAGCAAAAGCTGAAATCTCAGCAATGACTTCTTAATAAACTACATATATTATTCTACTGAGCACACATGTGATCTCACAGTAAGAACTGAGACTAATAGCTAAGACTTCTTTGTTAACCAGCTGAACATGACGGTCCATTAAAAATTAGTAAATAAATAAAGCTTCCACGGTAGTCTAGCCTCATAATATATTTGTAATCCTACAACTATTCTGTATAATAAAGTACAGAAGAAAGACTCTGTCATCTTAGCTGTTTAAGTTGATAGGCATTCCTTCCCTCCTACACTGACCATCTCAGTTATAAACATGTAGAAAAGTTGGAAATATTCAACTCCTAAAATGTGATGTGTTCAGCCACCAGTGACAAAGAAATCAATAGCTAGAAATAAAGTATAAACTCAAAGTCAGAACAGAAACTTCTAGCTGACCTTGTGGATCCAGGGCTGAAAACTGAGCTGAAGGACTGAGGGCTAGAGTTGTTACACCTTTAGTATCTACTTAGGAATAGACAGGCTGACTTAAGTCTGTTTCAGGGAATGTGCTGGAATTGAGCCCCTAAATAAAACCGAGACTCTTGAAAGGCTGACGCTCTTTGGAAACAGAAACTAAAAAAGCAGGATTTCACAGTAGTCCAAAGAAGTGACAATGAAAGAAGAGAAACACAAGAGATCAACAAAAATCAAGAGAGCTTATCACCAACAAGCTACCCTGTAAAAATACTGAAGGAAGACCTTCTGTTCAAAGGAAGGATACCAGATAAAAACCCAGAGCTACAGGGAGGAATGAAGAGTGACAGAAATGTAAATGTATAGATAAATACAAAGGTTATCTTTTGTTTTTCTTTTAATTCATGAAAGACAGCCAACTGAAGCCAAAAAAGAAAAAAAGTGATCTATAATATGGTATAGGAGTAAAATATATGTCAGTAGCACAAAGAGAGTGGGACAAAATTATATTCTTTTAAGGTTCTTTCATTTGACATGAGGTGTTATGATATGGAAAATGTTATGATATGACTTGGAAAAGACATTTAGGATACATCAAGTAGCACCTAACATTAAATATTAATAAGAAAAAATATTAACAGATATATATAACAAAAATTCAATGGAAAAATTAAAATAAAACATTTAAAAAATTTGATTAACCCCAAAGACCAGGAAAAGAGAAAGGAAGAAAGAACGTATGTGAAAAATAGAAAACACGTAGCAAGACAGCACACTCAAACCTAACCATATCAATGATTACGCTAAATATCAATGAACTAAACACTCCAATGAAGAGCCAAAGATTGTCAGATTGGATTAAACAACCACAGCCCAACTATTAGGGATCTACAAGAAAAGTATTTTAAATACAGACACACTGTGATACTATGGTATATTGCCCAGAAGAATTCATTCCTATAGCTGCTATAGTGTTGTTACCAACTGACAGTTCTCAACTAAATTCCTCTCCAAGACTTGCCCTCAAATAAAGAGTCATTTTGACCTAAACCACACCCTTTCTGGGGTAGCCCTCATCTACTAACTGACCATGAAGGGGTATAAAGGTATTACCCTCACCCTGAAAGTCACTTGATTCTAGAGTCACCATAAGATCAGCTGAGACCTTTGTTGCAGTTGCACTGATGATCAAAATCTCTCAGGCTAATCATGCTTCCATCATTCCACCAAAAATAATACCACTGAAAGCACACTCCAATAAACTCCTGGCACATAAATCTCCATGTTAGAGTCTGCTTTCTGGGAACTTGAGCAGTGATAAGGCACAACTAGGTTCAGAGTAAAGAATGGAAAACAATGTAACATGTAAATAATAAACATAAGATAAATGTTTGGGCTATCATAATATCACAAAATGGTCCTCAAAATGAAGAGTATTACCAGATACAAAAAGATGAATTAAGAAAATGAAAGAAATGAAAAATTCCTCACAACCCTAGATGTGCATGTACCTACTAGCCCGAGCTTCAAAATATATAAAGCAAAAACTAACAGAATTAAGGGAAGAAACTGACTAGCAGTCCATGGTCATACTTGGAGCTTTTACAACATTCCTTCCCCAATAACCAATTGCAAAAGTAGACACTGTCACCAACATGCTGTAGTTGACAGTTATAGTATACTAATACCCAATAATTATAGAATACACATTATTTTCAAGTGCACATGGAACGTCTACCAGGATGACTGTCAGGTTGGGCATAAAATAAGTATCATTAGATTTTAAACTAAACCTTACAGAGTATAGTATCTGGCCATAATTAATTAAATTAGAAAGCAATGGTAGTACAATACATGAAATAATCATTAAAACTTGAAAATTAAACACCACAATTCTAAGTAACCTATGAGTCAAAGAAGAAATCACCAATGAATTTAGAAAATGCTTAGGACAAAATACTAATGAAAACACATCAAATCACCCCACATGTAGTCAACTGATCTTTGACAAAGTAGCAAAGACAATACAGTGGAGCAAATGCAGTTTCTCTAACAAACAGTGCTGGAAAAACTAGACATCCACAAACACACAAAAAATGAGTCTAGACACAGACCCTATACCCTTCACAAAAACTAATTCAAAACTGACCATAGACCAACATATAAAATGCAAAGTTATAAGTTTTGAATACAACACCAAAGATAGAATCCATGAAAAATAAATACTGGTAAGCTGAGCTTCATTAAAATTAAAAACTTCTCTTCAAAAGTCAATGTCAAGAGCATTCAAAGACAAACCACAGACTGGAAGAAAATATCTGCAACAGACACATCTGATAAAGGACTGTTATCCAAAATATATAAAGAACTCTTAAAACTCAACAATAAGAGAAAAACAACCTGCTTAAAAAAGGGACAAACACTTCAACGAACACCTCACCAAAGAAGAGATATAGATGGCAAATAAGCATATAAAAAGATAGTCCACATCACATGTTATCAAGGAAATGCAAGTCAAAACAATAAAATAACACTTCACTATTTACTAGAATGACCAAAGTCTGGAATACTGACAACATCAAATTCTGGCAAGGATATGGAGCAACAGGAACTCCCATACATTGCTGGTGGGAATGCAAAATGGTATAGTCACTTTGGAAGACAGTTTGGCAGTTGCTTATAAAACTAAACATACTCTTACCATATGATCCAGCAGTCACGCTCCTTGATATTTATGTAAAGGAGTTGAAAATATATGTCCACACAAAAATCTGCACACAGATGTGTAGAGTAGCTTCATTCATAATTGCCAAAACTTGGAAGCAACCAAGATGTTTTTCACTAGGTGAATGGATAAATTCTAATATAGAGAGTCAATGGGCCATTATTCAGTGTTAAAAGGAAACAAGTTTTCCAGCCATGAAAAGACATGAAGGAATCTTCACTGCATATTACTAAGTGAATAGCCAATCTGAAAAGCCATACATACACTATGATTCCAATTATATGATATTCTAGAAAAACAAAACTACCTTGCTGGCATAGAGATGAGGGAGGGATAAATAGGAGTACAGAAAATTTTTAGGACAGTGAACATATTCTGTATGATCTTGTAATAAAAGATATATGTCATTATACATTGTCCAAACCCACTGCATATACAATACCAAGAGTTAACCCTAAAGTAAACTATGGACTTACAGATATGATCACAAGTCAGTGTAGGTTCATCCTTGGTAACAGATTCACCATTCTGGTGAGTAATAACAATGGAGGAGGCTATACATGTATTGGAACAGAGGGTTTATGGGAAATCTCTGTACCTTCCTCTCAGCTGTGTTATGAACTTTAACTGATCAAAATATAAAGTCCTTAAAACAAAACAACGACTGCATATCAATATTTGTGATATGCAAATGAAGCAGTGGCTAATGAGAAATTTATATCTTTAAAAGATTATATTAGAAAAGGAGACGGGTTTAAAATCTGTGATCTAAATTTCTACCCTAATAAACTAAAAAAAAGCAAATTAAACCCAAAGTAAATAAAAGGAAGGAAACAATAAAGAGCATAAATCATTGAGAGAGAAAAATCTATGAATAATAGAGAATATTTACAAATCCAGAAGATGATCATTAGAGATACTAAAAATATTTAAAAAGATAATAAGGAAATATTATGAACAACCTTATGTCAAAGCATTCACTAATTTAGATAAAATCAGCAGGATTCTTAAAAGATACAACCTATAAAACCAACTGAATAAAAAATAGGAAATCCAGATAGTCCTATATCAATTAAAGAAATTGAATTCATAATTAACACCCCCCCCAAAAAAAACCCCACAAAAAACAAACAAACAAAAAAACCCAATTCCAGGGCCATATAGTTTTCTTAGTGAATTCTAATAAATAAGGAAAAATAACAGTCTTTTATAAATTCTTTCAAAAAAATAGGAGGGAACACATTTCACTCCATTTTATGAGAAAAGGATTACTCTCATCTAAAATCTGACAAAGACAATTTAAAAAGAATATGGATCTATATTTCTCATGCACATAGATGAAAAATTTAACAAAATATTATCAAGTGAAATGCACCAATAAAATAGCTACTATATCATGACTAAGTGTGCTTTATCCCAAGAAAGCAAAGTTTAATAAACATCTGAAAATCAAACAGTGCAATTCAGTATATTAACAGAATATTATTTCAATGAGTACAAAAAAGCATTTAACAATATTCATCATCCATTCATGATAGAAACTCTCAGTAAACTAGAAAAGAAATATTTCCCTCACATCTGATAAAGGACATTCTTGAAAAATCTATAGCTTAAATCATATTTAATGATGAAATATTGAATTATTTCTCCCTAAGATCAGAACTAAGGCAAGGATATCTGTTTTTCCCATTTTCATATATTTTACTGGTAATCTTAGCCAGTAAAAGAGGACAAAAATAAATAAATACAAGGGGTAAAGTTTAGAAAGAAAAAATTCTGTTAATTCACAGATAACATAATTATTTAT